TTTGGAAACGGAAGCACACAAGAACAGACTTTAGTTTTCAGGCAATAAATTGAAGAGAATTCTGCAGACATACAACAGAAAAGAAGCATAAAATATTGGCTTGTGCACTTCTTAGAATGTTAGTTCATTAACTTGATAAGCTGCACAGGGAAAAATACAGCCAAAATCTACAAAGATTTCCACTGGGATTTCACATTGGCATATTTATTCAGCAAGAAATAGCTAGAGGATGGAGGGGGAAATATGCATCCAGTCGTGGTAGAGACGATTTAGTGTGAATCTCCGGGAAGACACCTTGTTGAAAAATCTCCATATGGACTCTAAGGGGATACACGGAAGCCCAAAGCCCCAAGGACAGGCGTAAATATCATGCTCCATCATCTGTGTCCTGGGGAATAGATCTAGGAAATTATACAAGAAAATCACAGTCTTTCACATCGACTTTTCACACATAATTCAGCATAAACTTGAAAAGTATTTTAATTTTCCCTCCTTCTTGCCCAAAATGTTTTTGTAATGCTTTATTGGAAACTTTCATTCACTGGCGTGTGCTCAAGATCTGTATTACTCATCAGCATAAAATCGTTAACAAAGGATTTGTCAGGCGATACTTCCAATGGGCACTGTCTTCTATGGCTAGAAGCTCATTAGCTGTCCCTCTGGGAGAAAACACTAATAACTGAACCTGTAGGTCAGGCACTGTGCTAGGCTCTTTCATAAACTTCATCTTATTTGAACTATTCAGAAAGGTACTGATTGTAATCCCCACTTACAGATTAAAAAGGTGAGGGTCAGAGAGATTCCCTGCCTTACTCAAGTAATTACATAGTCTTAAACTAAGGTATTTTCAGACAAAAAAAGAACTCAGGACAAATGCACTAAACTGCCATCTCTCTTTGGTGGGTGGCACTGGGCTAGCTCTTTATTTACAGTAGGAACAGAGTGTCAGGATGTACAAGAGATGTTACACAACAGAGGTCAGTTCACCTGCACGTGTGCTTCACTGGACCCACGAAGTGTTTAAAACCATTGAACCAACTTTCTAAAATCCACAGATTTCATGTAAAGATCCACACGTTATGGCAACCAGAAGGCCCCTTGACTCTAGGCCCACCTTCATGGCAACAGTCAGCCAAAACTTGGTGGTCCCCATGCCTTCTGATAAGGCATGGACTCACAGTCTCCATCACTCTCTATTCCATCCACCCATGCAAGCCATGGCAGCAGCTATTTTTCATTAGGCTTATGTTCTTGTTTTCCGTATAAAGGAGAACCATTTCTCCAAACTGTGTCTCTTTCAACAGACTGAACGGCTGTCTTGTCCCTTTACTGTGTCCTCTTTGTCGGTAGAGTGCTCCTCCCCAATCCTGTGTCTCCAATTCTCATACCAACTGGTTGAATCTCTTCAATCATCCTTTGGAGCGTGATCCAAAAGCCATTATTGTTTCTGGCAATGTTCGGCCTTAGATTTTTCTGGCCAAAAATCTCTATTTGGCTGAATCATGAAGTCAGAGTACCCAACCATTACAAAATACTGGTGTAGAAAAAAACAAATTTTGTAGGTGCCAATCACACAACCATCAGCTAATCACACAACCACCAACCAACCAAGTAAACCAGATGCTAGGTGACTGAAACTTAAAGGGCTTAGCAAGGCTAACTTATAAACAGGAAGCAGTTAAAACAACAGCAGTATTAAAAAAAAAAAAAAAAAGTGCCCCCAGAAAGGAAAGTTCTGCCTTCAGAAGGCAGTAATTGCTACATCTGAGGACATCTGCTTAACAATCCAGGAAAGTGGGAGTTTTACTCTCTATTAACCTTAACCAGAGACATTTTCATCAAAATTAATCGTGATTACTTTTTATTGCATTTCAAATGCTGTCCGTTATTTGGGGTGGTCAGGAATGCAACTAAGCAATTCCAGACCAGGCTATCTTTTATGAATAAGTGTATGAGGTAGTTACGAAGGCCCCTTATGAAAATATTGCTATACAAAAGTTCATGGGTCAAAACAAGACATTAATTTCCATAACAGGATGTATCCTTAGAAAAGAAAAAAACAGAAACTTTGATGCTCAATGCATATCAGAGCAAAACTGCATAAATACCCATGTGCAGCATAGATACTTTTAAAATGTTTCTTTTTCCTTCTCTTTGTTATTATAATAACAATTAAAAAGAGAAAAAGAAAAACAAACAACAACAAAAAAACCTATTGAGTATAGCTTGTATCAAATAGGATCTTAAATTTTTATATGTATTGACACTTTATTTTTATTTATTATTATTTTTTAATCCTCACCTGAGGATATGCTTATTGATTTCAGAGAGAGGAGAACAGAGAGAGAGAGAAAAAGGAGTGAGAGAGAAGTATAATTTGAGTGAGTACATTGATTAGTTGCCTTCCAAATGGGCCCTGGACAGGAATCAAACCTACAACCTAGGTACATGCCTTCATGGGGAATGGACCCCACAACCTTTCAGTGTATGGATGATGCTCTAACCAACTGAGCCACACAGGCTGGGGCTACATTGACTCTTTAATCCTCACAACTCTGTAGTAAGTGCAATTATTATTCCCATTTTACAGATAAACTAGTCTTAGGGAAGTTACCCTAACCTGCCCAAGGACATTCAGCTAGTAAAGTTTGAAACTTGGAATGAATCCTGGACATTCTAGCTGCTACACAGTTAGATAAAGAAAGGTAGCAACAACACATACATCACTGTCACAACAATCAATTGGTCTGTTATGTTTGTATCCTGACTATATCGTGCTCTGTGCAACCTCTGTACCTGCCAGAGGGCCTTCCCTACTGCTCTCTCCCTACCGTGTCAAACAAATTCCACCCCAGTTCCACTTGCCCCATTAAGTCTCTCTCCAAAGTTTTCTCGCCCTCCTCTTTTAGTTCTCTCGAACCCTCACCATATCCATAATCTCCCCATATGAGACTGATATGAAAAAAACAAAGGTGGTGTTGGCTGCCCAGTACCCGCTTTGGTAACAGAACTCTCTTTCTTGTGGGAAATTAACTGTCCCCACTCAGCCAATGGGCTTTGGGTAAGACTGACCTGATCCTGGCTTGGCCAATTCACGTGTTTTATCAGCCTTTGAACTTTATCTGGAACTACTAAGAAAATACTTTTCTCCTTCCCCTGGTCCAGTGGTTGGCAAACTGCGGCTCGGGAGCCATATGCAGCTCTTTGGCCACTTGTGAGTGGCTCTTCCACCAAATACCATGTCCTGGGTGAGTCTATTTTGAAGAAGTGGTGTTAGAAGAAGTTTAAGTTTAAAAAATTTGGCTCTCAAAAGAAATTTCAATCATTGAACTGGTGATGTTTGGCTCTGTTGACTAATGAGTTTGCCGACCACTGCCCGGGGCTAACAGCGCTCAGAGCTCTGTGTTGGCTGCTGGTGGCCATCATTAGCATCACTGTGGACCATCTTCCTGTGAATCAAGGTAACAAAGAACAGTGCACACCTATGAGTAAGATAAAGTCCATTCCCGATGCCATAGTCTGCAACTAGGAGCCCCAACCAACCCAGTTGACATAAAAATTAAACAGCTTCTATAAACTAACAACACAGAATCCAGCATATGGAAAGGTTTAATAAATGGTACCTAATCCTGTTAATACTTCTCTACATTAGTTTCTTGAAGGTGGAAGACCTGGAGTCAGGTTCATCTCCACTCCATACTTGGATGTCATTTCATTACTTTTCTGAGAGTAGTTTTACCATATGTAGAATCACCATTTTTTTTGTGAAGTATAAATGAGAATATGTGCCTGGCAAGGCAATAAAATGTTCTACAAATTTAAGTTAACTGTTATCTCAGTCTGTAGGCTCCAATCTGATGTCTCATAACTCATAGAGAAAAGAGTTACAAAATCCTGGGATGTAATTTGCCAAGAACACTGAGGAAGCTGTGGATTCAAACAAGTGACCAGTCCATGCTAACTAACTAAGGTGGTCCCAGGGCTGAACAAAGGAGCTGATTCTAATATTGTGCTTTCCAAATCAGGTGTCGGTGCAAGGAGGCTTGAGTGGCAACCTTCAGGCACCTCCCGGACACAGAGAAAAGAAGCTACTACGAAGTCATCCCCTCCTGCCAGGCTCAGTGCAGGGCATGTTCTTGCATTTCTTACTCTGGAATAATTTATTTCTCTTCGGTTCAATTAAAAAGAACAACTATGAGTACATATTGAAATTATCTAACTTCTTCTATCTCCAAGGAGGAAACCTAATATATAACTGGAGAAAGACACTAATTAATAAGTAAAATTTAAAATGAACTCAGGCCAACTTGAACTTGAACTGCTCTGTTTAAAGACCCACAAATAAATAAAGTAACTTCAAAGCAAATGCCCTGGGCTAGCTTGAATGTTTTATTGAGCACATGGAGAGAGCCCCTTTGCCAAAAATAGGAATGGTTAATGAGGAAAAATAGGTGTCTTCAGTGGGTCCATTGGTTTCTGAGAGCCATCCATTCAGAGATAACTATATTCCACAGAGAAGACAGAATAATGATCTGTCTCAGACCCTCAGAGTTTTAAGCAAAACAAACCAGTTTTATAAACTGTCTGAGATCAACTTCATGCATCGTTTCCCAAAAACCTTCTGGGATAATAGGCACACATTTCCCTTCTCCTAAAACCAAAGCTACTTCCATAATTCTAAAAGGAAGACATTTCTGTCTTTTAAGCTTCTTGCCAACTATATAAATGCAGCCTTTCACTTTTAAGGTAAAGTGCAGGAACCAAGAGAACCTGTGAAGCATCAGTGGCCTCCTCCATAATGGGCTTTACTTGGACTCCATTTTGAAATGATGCTCCTCACTACAGAGACCTCCGGGTCCCCTGGGGGTACGTGGTTAGTGCTGGATTCAGAGCAGAGGCACGCCACGGCTTCTGCACATGTTTTCCCACAGTAGTGGCTACATGTCAGAGCAAGTCGACCTCCAACTGTTCAGGCAAGAAGAGGAGAAGCCCGGGCTCACCTGCAGGTGCTGGGAGGTGTCAGCCATGCTATCTTCCCGCCTGCGCACTTCCTCCAGGAGCTGGGCATTCTTCTTCTTTTCCAGCTGCTGGTTGTGCTTGAGGTTGGCCACCTTCTTATTCTGATCCTTCATATGCCTGAGGAAAGTCAGCACAGCTGGGTTAAACTCAACCACTGCCAGGTTGTACGTGATCATAATGGAACTGCTAAGTACAGACCCGTATTGATATGGGTTCAGGGAGAGTTGGGACTTCAGAATATTCTATTCATTCAAACACACATAGGTATGGATCACTTAGATCATGCCAGGGACCAGAAGGGCACTGGGGCTGCAGTGGTGAATAACACAGGGATAGTCTCCACCCTCCTCATGGAGCTTGGATCCAGTAGAGGAGACAGACAAGCACCAAGGAGACACAACTTAGGTTTCCTAATGTTGAAGGAAACACACAGCATGTTGTGAGAGATGATGTGCCTTGCATGTGAGGGAAGGCAGCGGGTGGAGCAGATGGCTTTAGTCACTGTGTCTGGGAAACCTCCCTAAGGAAACAAGACTGTGGGTGAGACTCAGAAGAACCAGCCAAGAAAACACTTGGGAAGTATATGGATGTGCTTCCCCCCCACCCCATCACCCCTACCCCTCCCACCCCCAAGCTGAGAGAACAGCAAGTATAATTCCCAAAGCAGGAAAGGACCTGGCTACTTCTAAGAACCAGAAGACTACAGGGAGGCAAGTAATAGAGTTGGGTGATGCGGTGTGGGGTGTGGTAACACGGGATGGGGTAGGCGACAGAACTGCAAAGGTAGGTAGGACTCATGGTATGCTGGGCCCTAAGGTCCTTGATGGAACATTTATTTTCTTCTAAGTAAGTGCTTGCTAGTCTAATTATTATTCTTTTGGATCATGTTCTATTATGAGATCATAATCCATTACTTTGATTTTAAAATAACAATTAAAAGGCTCCAATCAACTACATTGTCATCACTTAGCTCAAACAGAATAACACTTTGGCTAATCATCGTGCTAAATAAGCCCCAGTGCTTGGCCCAAAAGTTCTCAATGAATCTATAGGATGTCAAGGTGCAAAATCATAAAGTGATCAAGTGAGTAAAAGATTAAGGATTAAGGGTTAAAACAAAGCAATGGGGAGGGGGTGCAGTTACAGGCGTAATGTGGACTATTTCACCAGCAGCGTTTAGCAAAACATTCCACAGGTTTAGGCAACCATGTCCACAGCAGCTGTTATAAATCTAATCCAACGTGTGAGGAGGCAGGAGGGCCGTCCAGAGGGCTCAGGAGCAGCGATTCCAAAGTTGGAGACCAATGGAGCAGAATCAGCGGGGGACCTTTCAATCCCTTCGCTCACTCTCCCCAAGTGGGCCACTGTTACTGAGCCCCGAGTCCCAAACACGTGTGTTGAGAACCACCACCCTTATGGAAGTATGGATGAGATGAGAACGAGGTGATAAACAACAAACAGGCCCAAATGAAACAACTAATAATCAAATGGAAGAGTTCTCAACAAGAAACTCTAATTTCTAGTGCTCATTAAATTACAGATGTGTCTACTTCCTCCTACTCCAAGAAAAAGAAGCTCAAGGGAATTGTTTATTGAGCCCTGCTAATAAAAAGTATTCTGAGCCAACTAATTATTTGGCTCAGTTGGGTCAGAATATTTATAGAACCAACTGGCTCAGTGGTTTAAGTCTTTCTTGTGATACCTATTAAGAGGATATAAGTATATAAGGTAAGACAGAATCACCATTATTTGGATTGGATTACTAGAATTTTGATCTGATATTTCTCTGCTTTAACCAGCTACAGTAATGTACACATATGATACTACCAGCAAAGTCTACATGCTAATCTACTTTTAGGGGAGTATCGTTTAGTTTAGTTACTAGAGAGATGTTAAGAATGACCACTTGCTACCTAATTGAACAGAGGTCTAGTAGTTCCAAAGTGCATACTAACTCAGGGCAAGTAAAATTCCTAGTTCCTGGAAAGACAAGGCCAGTGAACGGTAATAGGACATGATGGAGAGGTATTACTGATGAGATTGTTTAATTAGAGGACATGTCTTAGAAAGAAATACATTTTTAATTACTCCGAAGTACACCCTTAAGTAGAACTAACTGTTAAATGCCCCCCCCCCCAGCAAGTACCAGTGATAAATAAGACAAATTATAATTGCAAACATCACTTAAAGAACTCCCACAAAGTCCTTAAGCAGACCTTGTTTTCTGGGACACTGCAGGCTTTTTTCAATCCAAAAAGAAGAAAACATTCCAAATCTATGCACCCCTTAAAACTTTCCTGAATTAAGAATGAGCAGCAATCAACTCATGCTATATAATTTCATACAGGAAAGTATGCAATTTTAGATGCACAGTTCAATGATCTCTGACAGATGTGTTATGCCCATGTAATTACCACTACAATCAAGATATGGATCCTTTGCATCACCCCAGGAGTTCCTTGGGACCTTTCACAATTAATCCCCTGCCACCACCCAGGCTTGGCAACCACTAATCTGTTCCTATAGATCAGTGTTTCTCAAACTTTTGACATATGTGTACCCCTTCTATAATTTTCATAACGCTGAGTACCCCTCGTACTCATGAGAACGTAGAATTAGGTGCAGTTAAGCACAGTGCAGTGCATATCCCCACCAAACTCCGGTGCAACTCGTACCCCCACCAAACTCTTCCCGCACCCCTGGGGGTACGCGTACCACACTTTGGGAAACACTACACAGATAAATGGAACCACACAGTATAGACCAATTTGTGTCTGCCTTATTTCACTCAGAATGCTGTTTTGATTATTACTGATTAACAATGCAGTTGTCAGGATCAGTAGTTAGTCCATTTTTGTTGCTGAGTAGTATTCCATACATGGTTATTCTAAAGATGGTTTAACCTATTCATATGTTGATCAATATCTGGGGGGTGTTCCAGGTTTCTAGCTATGGAAGTAAAACTGCTATGAACATTAAAAAGAAAATAGAATGTGTGGCTAAGAACAATGGAAACTGAAGTTCAGACACTATGATGGAGGCATTTCTTCAGTCATCTCCAACTATTCCTTCAAATGCCACCTTATTTAAGACACTAGCAATTGGAAAATAAAAGTAGGGTTTAGAATGGCACAACTTGGGATTTGGACCGATAAGATCCATGCAAAACAAGGTGATGAGGATGATCATTTTGTCTTTGCACATGTGAATATCAAGAGATACATGTAAAGTGTCCATACTTCTCTGTAGGATTACTGGAGTTTTCATATATCTTTCTAGCAATAGAACCATTCCTTCTAAGAAAAGCTTACTTGAAAGCCAAAAAGAAAAAGAACTGCTCTGCCAGAGGTAGGAAGGAGGAAAGGAGTGGAGTGGGATGGGAAGAGATGGGCACCTCACCCACTGGACAGTTCACCTCTCAGATGCTCCTCCGGGAAGCTAAAGCAAGCTGTGGGGTAGGAAGAGAGTAGGAGGCAGGTAAAAAAAAGTCATAATGTTTAAAAAATATTAGATCCCTTGGAGAAGAGAAAATACCCCCACACAAGCTCACTAGACACTTGTTGAAGGAATGACCACAGTGATTCTTGCTAGTTGTCACTTCAGCATTTCCAAGAATAAGATGTGTAAGTAGCCTATTGATCCCCACCCTTTCCCTGCCTGCAGAAGTAAACACACACCTCACAGGTCAGATCATGCTACACTGCTACACTCTGTGTGGCTTCAATGGTCTCCAAACCTCTGAGGGAGTGCAAACCACCAGCCCTCTGGCAGTGCTGCCTGAGAGGAAAGTGTCTCTGATACCAGCTTCCTAACTTCCTTCTCCTCTCCCTCACCCCCAAGCAACTCAGTTTCCAAGACCACCAGAAAGTGACCTACTCCACGAATGGGGAAAAGTTATTTTAGAGTGATTTTTTTTTCTTTAGAAAAACAGAATTAAAATGTATAGAAAATGCAAATTTTGTTCTTAAAAAGCAATCATGGGGGTACAATTAGAGAGTACAGTGATATGGGCAGGTTTTAATGTTTGTCCTAAATTGGCAAGTCTCATTAAGCAAGTCATGTCACTTTTCTTTTCTTGTTTTCTTAATGTTTTTATGGATTTTAGAGAGAGAGGAAGGAAGAGAGAGAGATAAAAACAACAATGAGAGAGAAACATCCATTGGCTGACTCTTTCATGACCCTACTAGGGATTTCCCAAAACTTTGGGCATTTGTCCTGACCAAGAATCAAACTGGTGAGCTTTGGCTACATAGGATGACACTCAACCACTGAGCAACACCAGCCATGCAAGTCATGTCACTTTTCAAATTCAGCCATCATTAAGGAATTTGGATTAACTGAAAAAATTCCAGCAGGCATCTAGATCAACAATGGCTACTATAAAGAATGAATGTCAGTCATGGTTGGGTAATTAAGTTGGGTGGAGCATCAACATGATATGCCAAGGTTGCAGGTTTGGCCCCTGATTGGGGAACACACAAGAATCAACCAATAAATGCATAAATAAATAGAACGATAAAATGAATCTAACTCCCCCCCCCTCTCTCCTCTTTCTCTTCCCTCCACTTTCTCCCTTTCTCTAAAATCAACAGATAAAAATGTTAGAGGACAGACTCCTGCTAGTTTCACTTGAATAATCCATCAAACTAAAATCAGAACATGTTCTCTAACTTACTGCTGAGAGCTGGTCAGGCCTCTAGAATCACCTGGCCGCGAGTATGGGCTGGGAGTTAACTATGTTTCTCCAAGAATGTATGTTTATTTGTACAGAAAAGAGAAAACCAAACCTTTGCTTTCTTTAAGATCTCAGAAGAAATAAGATGCCATTTTTTTACCCATCTGCTCTCAAAAACTCGAAATGATGGATAATATCCATTGTTAGAGAGGCCGCCAGAATCCAGCGCTCTCATCTGTGGTCAGCAGGAGTGTAATTGACAAAGGCATTCTTGGAAACCAATTTGGCAGGATCCACCAAAGTGCACAGACACTTTGCCCAAGCAAACCCACTTCTAGGACAGTAGCCTATAAAAATGCTTGTCCAAGTATATATGTACAAAAATTTTCATTATAGCGCTGCAGAAGTGAAAATTTGAAAACTGCCTCATCACCCACAAGGA